TGAAAGGTGGAGGCAGTACTTTCCCCCTTATTCTCAAAATCTATTGGTCCAAAACACATCAATCAAAGTGCACCCTGTGCCTCGGACATTCCCCTGGAGAATGAGCAAACAAATATGCTTGGCACAAAGAGGTGTGCTCACCGATGTGTGCTAAAGGGCAAAAAGTGTACAGACCATGGTTAGTCTATGTTAATTTGCAAACCCCAAGAGTCTGGATGAATTAGCTAACATTATTCATTCATTACAGTATTCTACTACATTTGTCAGATGGCAATTTGTCCGTGTTACAAAGCAATTAGACGTTAACTAACATTAGTCGTCTAAAACCACAGTATCACAATATATTTCATAGCAGCGTTTCTTCTGGGATTTTTTTCAGCACCAGAGGTCAATGAAATTATGATATGGGGCATTGAATTTGATGAATTTACAGTTTATCAGATGTATCAGAAGTAAGACAAGAATTAGCTAGCACACCTTGCTGGCCTTTCGCTTCACACCCGCTGCTCAGAAATAACTTCCCACAAAGGAACATGGAGGGTAGCTTCAGAGACATTCAGTCAGCAGCTGTAATGCTAAGGTCACTCTCTGGGCTGGAGCTGTAAAATGTACATAATGGACCGGTGTGTGCAGGTCATTTGTTGAAGTTAGCGGACTCCATTTCTTAACTAATGTTAGCTACTGTTGAGTACTGTAGCTCTGTGGTGGAGCAAAAGGCAAAAGAGAGATACAACACGCTGTTGGGAGAAAGCCAGAAAGGAATTTCATGGTCAAGGTTCATCACATTGTTTGGATTTTCTGTAAAATATTCAGGCTAAGTTCTTTGCATAGAAGTCAGTCCACAGGCTGTGGTTCCCAACTGGTCCAGCCACAGGTTCCAGATTTCTCCTCAGTCATTATTTAAAGGTCCACACACTTTAAAATATTCAGTATCACACTTGCATTCGGCCATGTTGTCAAGCTAGTTTGCTGCCTCTGTCAAGTAGTTGTCCATTAGTCACTCATTCAACAACAGGAAGCAGCACTTCAGAACAAAAACTGTGCTGGATATTCACTGTACTTCAAAATAAAGTGTGTTTTTAACAAACTTGACTTGTATGCCAGTCACTTGCAGTCCATTTAGTAATTATCTGTGACCCACTTTCAGACCACGACTCACTAGAGGGAACCACTGTTATAAGCAACTAAGAAAGTCGAGGAAGGTCTCAGTTTTTAAGTTTAGGTTACAATCTGTTCACCCATTGGCAGTAAAAAAATGAACATTTAAAAAGTCACATACAGTACCTTTAAATGTTGGATCTTTCAGACTGAATAGCTTCCACCACTTTCCTAATAATGTCTAAATTACAGTTCTGGGACTCAGAGTAAGTCCCAATGCCATTCAGAGGCTAATATCCTCCACTCACCTTTGTTGTCCTTTGCCATCCTCATTTGTAATCTAGCTGGCACAGCCGCCACCATTGGTCATGGCAGCGTAATTGTGACATTAGGAGCTGGTTCTAGAGGGATCCCCAAATGTCGTCCACAAATACAGCGTGAAAGTCACATAGCCAGGGCTGTGAGGAGATAAACACTACAAATACACAGAGCTTGTTAGTCATGGTCCCTAATTACCAAACGGTTCATGTAGGAACGTCCCAATTGTCCAATCTAGTCTGCACAGAAACGATGCCAGGGAAGCCGCTGGCATGCATAACTATTGGAAGATCTTTTCACTTCATTTTTTTTTTCTTCTGATCAAGATTTCCAGCCACAAACTGTTTTTCTGTTGATCCGGATCCCTGTCAGTTCAAGGTAATTGCTTTTTTTGCTGGCATCCCGACAAAAAAATGTTGACAATATTTTGATATTTAGCAGTGTTTGGACATAAATCGCTGCGTGATGCAGAAAGCCTATGAGATTTCACTGCTGCCAAAGACCTACATGAGTCATAAAGTGAATCATAATTTGTTACCAAAGTGACAGTGATCCTTTATAATACCCATCATGCACATATCTCTCATAATGTAAGTGATCAAAGATGGCGGGCGTGTAATTGGATATGATTTCAGTTATTAGATGATGAGCAGCCGACAAATTGGGCCTTGTCCTCTGCCAGCAGCACGGGTCACAGCAATCAGTCAGTGAACTTGAAAGAGTCATCCAGACACAATGTGGGATTACGACATCAGAAATAAAGCCAAATACTGCTCTGTACGTCTGTGTAAAGTCAACAGCAGTGTTAAGTGTTCTTTTGGTAAATTTAGCCTCATACATTGGGGAGAGCTTGTTGACTTGATGGTCACCAATACCTGCTGTTCACAAGCATCAATACAGAGCTGTTATTTTCTCCCACATGTAGTTACTGTATGACTCAACTCTAGTATAAAATCTGTGAGTGTTTGTGCTTTTGAATGCATACTTGTGTATATGACTGCATATTTGTGTGCAAGAGTCCATAAAACCTTTAATCCAAGCTCTCCTGGAGGAGCTCTGCATTAATTATTGCAGAGTGGTAAGTATACTACACCATAAGGCAACATCTGGTGCCGGGTGAGAGAACCAGCAGGAGAGGTTTCCTGGGTCGAGTGTTCCCTTTAGAAAGGTTGAACTTCAGCTGTGCTGCCGTGTCACGGCCTGCCTGCCCACAGACTCGAGTCCTCAGAAGCAGAATAATTGGATCATATGGATAATGGCACACATGGACACAAAATACCTGTTTTTTTTGTTTTGTTTTTATGCAAGTGTTATTATTTTGTCCCAGTATTTCTTAATTTATTTGCTTACTGTATCTTTTAGTGTTGATATGAATCCGAAAAGTAGCAACTAAAGTAATTTAATAAATATAGTTAAGTAAAAAGTGCATTATTTGCCACTGAATGATCACGGAGCAGGGCTGTATTCACCTATTTAACATTTTCAATCTACACCTTCTACGACCCAACCCTCAAAAATCTATAGCTCAGGGGTTCTCAAAGTTTTGTTGGCTGAGTACCATTTTAGGGATCCACCATATGATTGAGGGCCGCAGAGCAAAAGTGAACAAACTATGACCTTTTTAATGTCATATGACACTTTGATGACTTGTTTTAATGGCATATACAATGACTATGTTTATGATATACTATGCTATGACTCTTTATGACCTTTTATATGACATACTAGTTAGTTCAAAGTCCACACAGTTTCATACATTCAGCGTCATACTTGTTTTTGGCCATGTCATTGAGCTAATTTGCTGCCTCTGTCATGTAGCTGCCCATTGGTAACTCACTCTACAGCAGGAAATGGCACTTCAAAATAAAAGCTCTGTGCCTAAAATTGACTGCACTTGAAATTAAAGTGTGTTTTTTACAAACTTGACACGTTTGTGAGTCACTTGTGGTCCATTCAGAATGGAGTTGCGTCCCACTTTTGGACTGTGACCTACCAGTTGGGAACCACTGTGCTAGAGTACAGCAACACCACATTTCGGACAGTGGTGAGTGGTTGCCTGTCCTAGAATAGCAAATATTTTTCTTAACATTTTTTATCAATATATGGGGGCATCCCCACAATATCCAATTATGATCAAAATGCCCTCCCAATATCCATTTCCATCCATCCATCCATTTTCATCCATTTATCCGGGGTCAGGTTGTGGGAGCAGCAGGCCAAGCGAAGCACCCAAGATGTCCCTCTCCCCAGGAACGCTCTCCAGCTCCTCCTGGGGGATCCCAAGGTGTTCCCCGACCAGATGAGATATGTAATCTCTCCAGCATGCAGCATGTCCTGGGTGTACCCCAGGGCCCCCTACCGGTATTTCAACACTTTTCCATGACTTTTGAAGAACCCATAATTAAAAAACAAAAACTTGATCCACTTGGTGGGTGTTTTTGAAACATATCAGATTCAAACTTTATTTAAACATAATTTCAGCCAGCTGGCACACGTGAAGACAGAAGGAACGTGGGGAGAAACATAATGCTAAACAAAATGTCCCACACTGACGCATATTAGAGCAAAGTTAGGTTGATAGCTACAGAAAATACATTTGCCAATATTACATGGAAGGTTATTCAAGTTTCAATGATTTTTACTAATGTCATGACTTTTCTTGGCCTGGAAAATGTGATTATGAAATTCCATGTCCTTTCCAGGTTTTCCATGACTGTGGGAACCCTACAGTAGGTGTGCAAAGTGTCTCAGATCCTCAGACAAAAAGCTCTCAGTAGTTACTGCTCAGTCGGACTTTCCTTTCAAATCATGCTGCATTTACATGTAAATGAAAGCAATGTAAGCTGACACTATACACTCTCACAAGACCACACTGCCACGTTATCATGCAATGGTGCCACTGTGTGGAGGGAAGCTGCACACACAGGATCTGCAGTGGCTTTATGTAATGTCAAGTGTATTACACAGAGTATAAATCAGCACAAAACAAACAATGTTTCAGCCCCACACTTTTGCTTCACCTCTATAATGCAAACACAGAGGGTAAACATTAACAATAGGCTATTTAGAGCTCTGAAATACTGTCAATACTATCATTTAAGTAATGATTTCCAGGTCTGCCAGTGCCACAACCTCATTATTCTTAATTTAATTTGACACTGTATTCGTTAAATGATGATCATGTTAGATTACATTAGTAAAACAGATTTGTAGAGAGCTATGACCTTGTTGATCTAAACTCCTGCCATTCTCACACTAGCTCCTATAAATGCCAGCAAGGAGAGGGCATTTTTAGATTTCATAACTCAAAAGATGGCGATTGCATCTGTGTTTTAGGCATAACTAGGGCTGTCCAAGTCACTCTGATTTTGACAGTTTTTGTTTGTTCTTAAATCTCACACTCGTCCATTTATGTCCTGATTTCCTTTTCACCACCTGGTCTTTACTCTTTAACCCTGCTTTAAAAGGCGGGTTGTTTATGACAGGGAAAGATAACAGATGATCAGTGCAGGACAATAAAAAGAGATGGCACCATATATAGTTTATCACTGTCATTCCCTGCTTCACACCTGCAGATATTGGACTGCATTTGCTTTGACACAAACAGAAAGACTGAGAACGTAGATAAACAAAGAGCTAGGTTTAACTATAGAGTCAGATTTTTATTTATCAAGGAAATAAATAGCGCGTTTTTGATGCTTTTTTGTCTGAAGTGGCACTTCTATCCTTTGTGGACTTTTACCCTCACACCATCACCATGGTAAATCAGTGTGCGGCCCGCGTGGTGCTCATGTTTGTTGGGTTGTTTGTCTTTTTAGCCGCACTCACTGTCAACTCTCTATCAGGATTCGGTGCTAAATCAGGTGACTGTTTGTTGGATAAATCAGCTGAAGGTTTTGTAAAGTGTGACATTAAGACATAAATAATAAACTGTGCTTATCTCCATACAGGGGTTTTCAAGCAGAGCACAGAGGATGTGATACTCAAGTATACAACACCCATAACTCCATCTCAGTGGGCTTTCTTTGTCTGGGATTTCATTTATTTTTGGGTTTTGGCCATGTTTATATACTTCTTAGTGGGACTCTGCAGAAGGTAGCACCATTTGTCATATTCTCATACATAATTTACAAAAGATGATAATGCTTAATAGCCACATCGCACTGCATAACTGTGCCTATTTCTTAATGCTTTTATCTCATCCTGTTGTATTATTGCACGCAGCAAATCAGTCCACCTAGTCCAGAGGCAATTTACTCTTCCTCTGTGCAGTCGTTTTCTCTTTACATGTTGCAGATTGCTCTGACTTTATATGAAAGAGTCTGATTATTTCCCTGCAGGCGCAATTTGTTTGCCGTGGTGTGTTTTTTCTTCTCAAATAAAACAATATTATCATTGTTTCCTGCAGGAATGCTTATGACTGGATGTACACCACACCTGCAGTGCTACCCTATGGGTTTCATGTCTCTATCATCACCAATATCTGCCTGAACATTACATGGTTGTTTCTGTTTGACAGAGAGTAAGTGTGTGTGTCCAGGTTGGCCCCCAAACATGACCAAAAGCTAAAGTTTTGGTGTCTTATGTAACAGTTTAAACATCTGCTTTTCTTTGTGTGTTTAGGTTGATGCTGCCAGTGCTGATAATCTCGCTACTAATGACGCTCACCGACTACACGATCCTGTTTTTCTCCTGTCATGGACTAAAAATCTATGGAGCCTGGTTGAACAAATATCACACCGTAGATCTGTGGCTCTTCAGAATATTGGTAAAACAATTACTTGCCTTTTTTCCCATTTGCATTTCGACAGATTATTTTTTAACATCTTGACTTGGCTTTAAAGAGAATAACATGTTTAAAAGGAATGTACAGTGTTATTGGTTTACAGACACTGCAATTAAAAAGCTTATAAAAACAGTAATAAAGTCACACATTCAGCAAACAAACTTGCTCTTTGAAATGAGGAGTGACACATATGCAAAAAGGTGGAAATCCAAGGTGAGTTCAAGGACAGTAAAAAGCCATTATATGTAGGACTGTTACACCTACACAGAATTTTTTTTAAAGTGGCCTTCACCAGGGTACATTTTAACATTTACTATTCTTGGAAATTGACTGTCCTCATTTCCCTCTTGTCGCATAGAGAAAAATCATGCTATTCATATTCTCATTACCTTGGTATTTAAATCATTATTTGCAAGCATTAAAAAGTATCCAGGTGATGTGTCCTTCAGATTAACAAACATATAAAGTGTTAATTAGTGAGTGTAAGAGGTGCTAATAGGTGTATTTCATTACCTCTGGACACTTTACCCATTTACAGTCTTTATGCTAAGCTAAGCCAACGATGCTCTACATAAATGATATACACTTTTATTCTCTGAGGTGGGAGCAGTTGTGTCTCCCCTTGCATCCTGTCACCTTGTTTGGAAGTGCTGTGAACGTCATGTGGATGAATGAAAGCAGTTTCAAAACAATACAACACCAGATACAGTACGAATTTAAAGGTACACTATGCAGGGTTTTCCTAAAAAAAAAAAAAAAAAAAAAATGCATAAATCAATACAGAAGTACAGTACAGGCCAAAAGTTTGGACACACCTTCTCATTCAATGCGTTTTCTTTATTTTCATGACTATTTACATTGTAGATTCTCACTGAAGGCATCAAAACTATGAATGAACACATGTGGAGTTATGTACTTAACAAAAAAAGGTGAAATAACTGAAAACATGTTTTATATTCTAGTTTCTTCAAAATAGCCACCCTTTGCTCTGATTACTGCTTTGCACACTCTTGGCATTCTCTCTATGAGCTTCAAGAGGTAGTCACCTGAAATGGTTTTCCAACAGTCTTGAAGGAGTTCCCAGAGGTGTTTAGCACTTGTTGGCCCCTTTGCCTTCACTCTGCGGTCCAGCTCACCCCAAACCATCTCGATTGGGTTCAGGTCCGGTGACTGTGGAGGCCAGGTCATCTGCCGCAGCACTCCATCACTCTCCTTCTTGGTCAAATAGCCCTTACACAGCCTGGAGGTGTGTTTGGGGTCATTGTCCTGTTGAAAAATAAATGATCGTCCAACTAAACGCAAAGCGAATGGGATGGCATGTCGCTGCAGGATGCTGTGGTAGCCATGCTGGTTCAGTGTGCCTTCAATTTTGAATAAATCCCCAACAGTGTCACCAGCAAAACACCCCCACACCATCACACCTCCTCCTCCATGCTTCACAGTGGGAACCAGGCATGTGGAATCCATCCGTTCACCTTTTCTGCGTCTCACAAAGACACGGCGGTTGGAACCAAAGATCTCAAATTTGGACTCATCAGACCAAAGCACAGATTTCCACTGGTCTAATGTCCATTCCTTGTGTTTCTTGGCCCAAACAAATCTCTTCTGCTTGTTGCCTCTCCTTAGCAGTGGTTTCCTAGCAGCTATTTGACCATGAAGGCCTGATTGGCGCAGTCTCCTCTTAACAGTTGTTCTAGAGATGGGTCTGCTGCTACAACTCTGTGTGGCATTCATCTGGTCTCTGATCTGAGCTGCTGTTAACTTGCGATTTCTGAGGCTGGTGACTCGGATGAACTTATCCTCAGAAGCAGAGGTGACTCTTGGTCTTCCTTTCCTGGGTTGGTCCTCATGTGTGCCAGTTTCGTTGTAGCGCTTGATGGTTTTTGCGACTCCACTTGGGGACACATTTAAAGTTTTTGCAATTTTCCGGACTGACTGACCTTCATTTCTTAAAGTAATGATAGCCACTCGTTTTTCTTTAGTTAGCTGATTGGTTCTTGCCATAATATGAATTTTAACAGTTGTCCAATAGGGCTGTCGGCTGTGTATTAACCTGACTTCTGTACAACACAACTGATGGTCCCAACCCCATTGATAAAGCAAGAAATTCCACTAATTAACCCTGATAAGGCACATCTGTGAAGTGGAAACCATTTCAGGTGACTACCTCTTGAAGCTCATCGAGAGAATGCCAAGAGTGTGCAAAGCAGTAATCAGAGCAAAGGGTGGCTATTTTGAAGAAACTAGAATATAAAACATGTTTTCAGTTATTTCACCTTTTTTTGTTAAGTACATAACTCCACATGTGTTCATTCATAGTTTTGATGCCTTCAGTGAGAATCTACAATGTAAATAGTCATGAAAATAAAGAAAACGCATTGAATGAGAAGGTGTGTCCAAACTTTTGGCCTGTACTGTATTTCACTCTCGGTTATCACTTATGACCCAGTAGAAGTGTGTGGCGGCGAATTTTTCTGTAGAGACTGCCCTTCGCTTGCCTTGTTTTTTGTGTTTGGGATGTTTATGGGTGTGTACCCCCACGGACATGATTTTGCTAAGTAGGACTGACTTCTGGATCAACATCCAAAGTCGTGTTCCAGGACCAACATTGCGATCAACCAAGCACAGCTGTCTCACATCATCAGCGTGGTGCTCTTGTGCTTCTTTTAAAAGAAGTTAAAAAGTTAAATTCCTCTGCACCTCTTCAAATTTTAAGTTCATATAAATGAACAAAATCCTCAGTGACTTTACACTTAAACCCTAAGTTACTGCAGGGTTAGTGAGTTAGCTTGCTAACTAGGTAGGCTAACAAGTAAACTTGCAAATAGACTAGAATATTAGCAAGTTAGTTTGCTGATTAGGTAGGCTATGCTAACGAGTAAGCTTACCAGTAGGCTAAAATATTGTTCATTAACATTAAGAGTAAAGATAATATCATTTGCAGTTTCAAAAACCTGGACACATTCACCCTCCTTTTCCATTGCCTATATAAAAGTATTATTGCAAGAGTTTTAAATAAGCTATAAAAGGTATTTACAACTGAAAAATTATATTATTCACAATCTTTGTTAGTGAACAATATTCTAGCCTATTGGGAAGCTTACTTGTTAGCATAGTCTACCTACTCATCAAGCTAACTTACTAATATTCTGGTCTATTGACAAAGTTTACTTGTTAGCATAGCCAACCTACTTTGAAAGCTAATTCACTAACCCCGTAGTAGCTTCTAAGGTTTTTGGTTAATGTTACTGAGGGTTTTGTTCAGTTGTACGAACTTAAATTTGGGAAACTAGCTTAGCTCTGAAGAAGCACAAAGGAATTTTAAAAGTAGTACAGGAGAGGTACATTGATGATGTCAGGCGGCTGTGATTGGTTGAATTTGGGGTTGGCTTTCACTTTCACTTTTGTTGGTGAGTGTGTTTACAAAAAGCAAAAAGCAATCCTGCATTGTATACATTTAATGTTAGCACATTATTTTGCCTGGTTTGTAAATGCTAGCTTAATATCTGATATCAACCCAACACAGTAAAAGATCATATCCGTTGTTGCAGGATCTTGTGAGAGAGTGTTTGTGAGACTGAGACTGGTTAATTTTCTCCTGAATTGATGTCTGAAAAAATGCCATTTTAGTGTCTGGAATTTTAGTGTTTGTCAGCCTAAAAAGTGCGCTGGATTGTTTCTGAACCATCTCTGTTTTCTGTTGTGCAGACATGAAAGTGGTGACAATTCTCTCATCTAATTTTCCACAAACTAAGTGAATAGGCAGCCTTTTGAAAATGTCAAACTATTCCTTTAAAGTGACATTTTATCACTCAGTTGGTACCATTCCATCCAAGTCCCACGGCACACCGCTGACACACTGTAAGGTTAAACAAGCCAGACACTGCTCCCAAAGCTGCTGGCTGCTCCGTCACCCATATCTAAAGAGTGAATCCTCGCCAAAATGCCCAGTTCTACTGGCTGTGCAACGTCTGTGCACCAGGCGACTGTGGTCTGAGATTAGGAGGTTAGAAGCAGCCGAGTGAGGCCATAGAAAAAAAATTGACATGGCTTCCCAGTCCCTCTTTGCCTTGAGCTTGACATTAAAGAAGAGGTGATAGATAAGGTCACATGACAGGCCAGCATCCTTTGCAGTAAACTGTATTTAAAGCGTTCAGAGAATATGCCAAATACTTCAGGATTAGGATACAGCCAGCTGCCATCTGGTCATAGCTTTCCATGCTTTGAAGTCTTCTTTCATTGTGTTGAATCAGGTGCAAAATGGAATAGCAGTATACGCAACATGGGGGACTCTCTCCACTCTCCTGAACCTGACGATATATTTGCAGTATCAGACAGAAACGTCTCGATGTGACTGTGCAATGCTGTCACTGCTGCTGCTTCTGATGGAGCTGTTAGCCTGGTGAGTCTGACTCCCCGCTGCGTTCTGTCATTTAGCTGTCGGTGTTTTCTTCTTCCCCAGAGAGACGATACACGAGCAAAGGAACCCAGATCTTTTGTCGTTGTCTCCCTCTGCTCCCAGGTTTCTGTTAGAGAACTTCTACCTCGATGAGCATGTGCGTTACATTGTGACCATCTACCCCGTGGTAATCCTGTGGTTGACAGGCACCCTGAGCAATTCTGACTCTCCTATAAGTGACATTTATATATTTGCAGGTACAGTCTGACACTTGAACTGAGGGATATTAGCCCCACACATTTTTATCAATATTCTTTTTGCATTTCTCTCTACACTGTACATTGATTCATGACATATTTAATTTCCTCTTCCTTCTTCAGCTGTGATCCTGGCTTTTTCCTGCATCCTGTTCATTGCACGCATTGCCCTCGTCACATGGAAGCATCATAAACGACCGCTTTACAAAGACAGTGGGCCCAGTAGGTCACCAGTGGAAATGGCTTTGACACAAAGAAAAATATTTCTTTGACTATGAGCTTAGAGTGAGTGAATGTATAACAATAAATAATTTGTGTGTAAATACTAAATTTTTTGTAAAGAATTTAATACATGAATGGAAAAAAGGAAGTCATTAATATTTTTAATGATTTAATAATATTTAGGAATGTTTGAATTTTATGTTTTAACAGTGAAAAGAAACATCAATACATTTAATAAATGATAATATTGTGTTGTGCAATTTTTCTTTGTCTTTTTTGAATATATATATTCAATATATTGATTTATTTAGTATTCTACTTTAATGTATGTAGCCTACAGTGTACCCAATTTTGAACTGAAATGACTGAATGTAATTCCTTTTTTTAATCTTTCTTCTTTATGTTCTTTTTTTCTGTTTAAATTTCATATAAACATAAGCTTTGTATTTTAAAATGTAAATTGATGAAATTGTATGTTTTATATGTAATGTAGTGTAATATATTGTATGTAAGGTGTGGACCCCAGGAAGACTAGCTGATTGCCAAGGCATTCAGCTAATGGGGATCCTTAAAATAAATAAATAAACAGAAGGATTTCAAAACTGAAATGAATAATTGTAAAGCCAAATAACAATGAACATGGAAATAATATTTTAAAAAAATATACAAAAGCAAATGTAAGGTTGAAGTAAATTATAAATATGAGAGAAAAATAACCGTCAGGCATATCTTTGCATAATAGTTGTCCTCTTGTTTAATAAACATGCTCTATTAAAACAGTACACATTTAGGTAAATGAACATTTGGCTGCAAAAGGAAAAAAGTTCCAGAAAGAAGCAATTTAATCAAGGGCTGAAAAAACTGTCAAAATTCAAAGATGTTGAAAAAACAATAAATCCTCACATTTTAGCAGCTGGCATCTTTCTTAATAAATGAGTTTAACAAACAAATAAGTCATTAGAATTGTTTGTTGATCATTTTTACAATGATCGCCTTATCAATAAGTCAGCTAATCCTTTCAGCGCTAACTTATTCCTGTGATAAGCAGTCCTGTGTGCCAAGTGAAAACAGCACAATCATATAAACTCATGTGTCCTAATGTTAGCATTGCAACATCTCCTCAAGCGCAGTTCACCCAGCATAATTTTTCCATCAAACACGTATCTGCTGTTTCAAATTAGTTTTATATAAATGTGATTCCTAGGAAATAGGACTAAACCATAACCACTACTTGCCTAACTCTTACCTAAGCCTAACCTTAACCTAACCCCAACCTTAAACTGGAATCTAATTTTTTCCCAAACTAGGTCAAGTTTTGTCCCTATTTGGACAAGATGTCCCTAGTTAACTTGTCTATAGTCTGAAGTGTGTCACTAAAGATAGCCTAACACACACACACACACACCACCACCACTACCATGACACCACCTATGATAGCAGTAATCAAAGAGATACCATAAAATTGAAAAGTACATGCAACATTCCAAAGTCCAAAATATTAGATTGTGGAGACATATATTGTGCCTCGCAGCACAGTCTTCAGTATTCAGAGACTGTGGTGAGCTTCCAGATGTCTCCTATCACAGTGAAAAACAGTTACCATGTAGTGATACATGCTGGGAGCATTGCCCTGGCTGTAATTGCTCAGGTGAGCACAGGTATCTTTTTTAACCTGGCACAGGACAGCAACGTTCCGAATGGTGAGTGACTCTGCATGAATATTTCAATTATGTAATCACAGATTGTAGGTTGACGGTTGTATTCAGAGGTTGAAAGTGTGATGATTTTAATGAGCTCAGTGAGCTCTTCTCACTGGTTTGTAGAGGGGGGCTTTAGTAAATGGTAATGTCATATACAAAGTGCACCAGTCAGGTTGATGATTGCAAAACTCAAAGATGTTTTTTCATCTTTCTAAACTTGTTGCATATTTAGTCGTAAATATTTAGCAAAGCTCTTATACCTAAATGACAGAATAGGTTGATTTCCACCACATAGGTAGAGTGCTGCAGGGATGACGTTCACGGAAGTTAGAATCGCCCTGGTTACATCATCAAATTTAGGCAGAAAATTAGCTCTGTGGCAAAGAGAAATTTATGATACTTTAATGTTTTTCCTCAGCAAGACAATCTTCACAACCAAACATCACTTTTATGATTTTTTTAAGGACTCATTCCTGCACCATTATCTTTCTAACATTCACAGTTATCAGTACATCCTTAACATCATAAAACAGTCGCAGTGCTGCTCCAAACCTACCTGGTTAGGCTTACGCAACAAAACTACGTGGTTAGGTTTAGGTAAAACATCAAGATTTGGCATTATATAAGTACTTCTGTCACTTACGTAACGTGATGCATGTGACCTATGTCACATACAATGTATCACATACTTCACTAGCTCAGCATGCTGCACATATTAGCATTCAAGGCTACATTGTTATTAAAAGAACACAATGTTGACTTCAGAATGCAAACACTGGTCTCTTGGGTGAAAGTCCTATGTTTATGTGACCCAATTACCACTCCTCCCACCCACCTTGTTGGGGCTTTTTCAATATCTCTACAATATTACGTAACATCACTTCCTCCTCTGCTCCGGTAATGATTACTATGCACACTACACAGGTCCCGCCTTACAGTAAACGTAAGTATGGGTCGTAATATGCTGCTTGCACAGTCGACCTTAGAGGTTGTGTTTTGAGGAAAGCGGACTGACATTTAATGTTATTGAGAAATACTTACGTTTTGAAGCCAAGTTTCACTGAAAGACCTTTGCCCTGACAGTCATTTCAGTTCATGCCATTGACCTGAATGGAGGCCATTGAAACTAACTAGGGTACATAAACACACACAAACACACACCTCCCAGTCTAGACTGAGTCTGTAACATAAAAAACAATGTGATTTTTTTATAGTGATTTCAGTAGAGGGTATTTGAAGTGGAATAATGAAGACATATTAATGCCCCAGTTATCATGTGTCACTTCTGAAAATTTCTTGTTTATCCCAACCAAGGATCAATGTTTTCTTCTTTCTTTCTTTCTTTCTTTCTTGGGCTTCAGCTCTGTTTCAGACCTCATCCAGGAATGTCTCTGAGACCTTCCCCCTGGAGGTGACTTTGGACTGGTGGTCTGATTGTTACTGGATAATAGTGGACTTGTGGTCTATGGCTTGGCTCCTGTATGCAGTGGTCGGCCTTTTTAAAAGGTAGCATGAGTGGTGTCTTTAAAGCCTTATACCAGGGGTGTCAAACATACAGCCTGGGGGACAGAACTGGCCCACCAAAGGGTCCAACCCGGCCCACTAGATGACTTTGTACACCTAATCTTGATGCACTTGTTAAGGTTAAGAGGTTTCAGGAGCAATCTAAACAGTGAGTAGATACTTCATGTAAAATGCTGCCTCAGAGGTTTTTCCACCCTGACCAGAATACAGTTCTCCGAAAAAACAAGTACTTACTGTGGTCATAGTTATTTCACAGTGTGCAAAATATTGTCAACCAACAGCTCCAAAGAATCTGTGTCAGGCTTTTATCTTAAAACAATATGGGTGGAATCCTGTTGCTAAGGCACTGACATAACTTCAGATTGTAAATGGTTTGTAGGGCAGGGGACGACTTCACCTGCTTCTTTAATAGCTTCATCTTTAGTGGGAGTGGAACAGAGATTAGGAAACTGACTGAATAAGGAAAAACTGACGCATACTGTTGTATTTGCACATATTTTTTAAGGATATCACTGGCTGTTCATCATTTGTTTCGTAAATGGATAAACATTTTCATAATGTACTTCTTTACACTAGAAAAAGGGAAAAAAGGAAGGGGATGTCATTTATAGGTTGTTATGCAATGGTTTTACTGGCACGGCCCACTTGTGATCAAATTGGGACGTATGTGACCCATGAACTAAAGTGAGTTTGACACCCCTGCCTTATACAATGCCAATGGTTTACTAGAACTTCTGTTAAAATCCTTAAAACTTCCGTCTAGTTTGATTTGGCGACACCTGTGCAATGTAATACTACAGATCCCAGAATTCTTAGGGTAACAAACACTTTTGAAGCTGCTACTTTGTCAGAAATACAACATAATGGTAGCTAGTTAATCTATTTACAGTGCAACCAAACAAACTCATGCTGTAAATGGGTATGCATATGTAGACAATTTGAATCCAAGGCCAGAGTGGCGGACTCCGCCACTAATAATGAAAACCACTATGTGGAAAGGTGATTACAGAATGTAAACACATTGAATGTCTATTGATGAAAAAATGCTGATTGTAAATGGTTCAACAATGGGGTCTGATTTGATGAAAATTGCAGGTATTATATCGTCAAGGTGTTGTATGTGATCATAGTCAAGACTGTTATTATTGTGTCTGCAGAAATGTCCTTGGCCCTGAGTCTTGCTGTCCAGAAATCCACCCCCCAGTATTTTATTTTATGTGGACCATGATTAACATTGCAAGGATGTGCAGCATGGCCCTGTGGGACCGACAGTAAGTAGTGCCAATGTTCTGTCCACAGCAACACATGACATACAGTATGTGTGCTCATAATCAGTCAAAGCTACTGCTGCTTTCTACAGCTGTATACATGGAGCCGTCATACTCAGGTGGATTCTCCTGGTCCTCAGCTTCTACATGCTCTACATGTCCTACTCTAACCTCGACAAGCACAAAGTCTGGCTAGCCATCAACAACCCTTTTGTGATCTCGTGGACACGTTACCTGGTGAGGCCGCTCAGTTACCAAAAGTAATGTAGTAAAATGTATTAGCATTCGTCATGTTAAATTCCTGCTAATTTAACTAGCATGCTTGGTCAAATTCAACATTTTTTTATGCTTTAACATTTATTGCAGACCCAGAATGGCTTGGCAGTATTTGCCTGGTGGTCTCTCTTGAATGCTGTGGTCGGTCTTGGCATTGTGCTCAAGTACAAAATAGACGTGCCGGACCCTCTCATCAGCACTGTTGTTCTCACCATCATCTCCTTGTGCGCTATAAACTGGTAAGGACAAAAGAACTAGAGGTAATGCCAAATATCTGTTTGTAAAGCAAAATTATGGAAAGATTTTAACTTCTGAAAATGTTGCAGGTTCATCCTACAGATCTTCCTGTTAACCAAGTACACGCGCTACACATTCTCTGTTTACGCTATGCTCATCCTGGGCCTGGGTGCCATGTTCACCAGAAGCTATCGTGTCCATGACCTCGCTACAAACACAGTCTATTGTGGTAAGATGTCACCTTCAAGTGCAGATGCACATTTAACAATCAAATGTGTCTATATATTGTGGAAGTTTACCCTGTCTTCTCTTATCTCCAGGGTTCCTTATGCTCCTTATGACGGTCATGAACTTGATCCATTTGATCTCTGCATGTTTGCACACTGATAAGTCAAGCAAACCTGTTGCCATGGAGCCCTCTGTGACATTTGAGGGCTGTGAGAACGTGTGGCACACAAACCTCAGAAGTGATGACATCAAGAAAGACTTCTGCAAAATCTGATCATATGTGGTGAAAGAAAATTAGTAAATATGTTACCAACCAAATGTGCACTTTACATGAATCACCAACAGGGGGCAGTACTTACTCACTTTACACTGAGAAAGTGTTGGACAAACTGCTGTACCAGAAGATGGCACAGTGGTTCAAGCTTTTTTAGGGAATATATCTGTATTAAGACTATGATTCAAAACTGAAGTTCATTAATAAAAAAATTCAAAGCATCCAAAACAAATAGGAAGATTATTTAACCTTTGTTCATACTATTTTTATGTTTTTGAAACCAGATAATCTCTGTCCTTGTTTGAAAACATGAAACCCTAATGCACACTTTAACTCCTAATATAAGCCATATTAGCTTGGGTATTTTGTTGACGCATGATGATGATGTTTTCAAACTTCTTGAGTGAACGAAGGTCATTAAAAACCTCTATACCCTCCTTGAC